TGCACCGCCGTGTACCAGCCGGATGTCGCCCGTACTACGCGGCGTTAGCTTCGCCACGCAAACTATCTATAGCATGTTCGCGACACAAATACAGGTGCGCAAATGCACTTGGGTTTTGCGGCAAGAACCTAGACACCGCCATCTTCATTTGTTGTGATTGGAAGTGAGGCTGAGAAGATGGTCATGGGAAGTTGTGAGGCCTCAAGCAGGAAATGAAGCAACGGCAAAGACACCGCCTTTCTCAAAGCCCATTGAAGGGGACGACAACAACCGGATGCCAAAATGCACAATGAATCCAATTGAGGTTCAATCAGCCCTCCCTCCGCGTCAAATGTTGACTTTGGACTTCCGACGAAGCCTCAGCTTGAATTTCACTGGCGGTAGCATGGTATTCAAGAGCGATTTTCCTACGCTCTTGCCCACACGAGCTCAACATTATAGATCACAAAGGCGCGAGGCCAGTGTTTTCGACGTCTGCGCCACAAACCGCCTCCTTGGGCACGTATGGCGCCCATAGCTAGCAATTCCTTCGTCACAACCTGGTGCTTCTCTATTTTATTCCCCTCCTCAAACGGTCTGGAGAAACGGAACGCATTGAATAGCCACCGCTTAATTTTCGGGATCCAAATGTATATCCTGGGTAGAAAGTACCACTTGAACGGCGGCGCCAACATGTAAGTTGTTTCTAATGTTCAAGTGCCCCGCGGTGACGTCGTGAAAGACGTTAGGGTCGCTACATCGGAAACTTGCTTTAACTCGCGCAGCGTCGAGTCGATCTGGTGAAGCTCATCGATCGCCTCATGGGTTCCAAGACCACCCTGCCTGGCCACTACTTCCAAACAGGATGGCAAAAGTGTGCAGAACAAGCATGCTAACCAGTCGCAAAGCTATGCGGGCAGCACCACTTTGGTCCTCGTTTGACTGAGATCGGAATCATTCACTATGGAAGGACGTCTGGCACTTTTGCTCTGCCAGTCTTCCACATCGAATGTGGCCCTCTACCATGTGACTCGGCATCTTGACGAAGCACGCTTGGTAGAAGTTGGCACGTAGTGCTATCACCGGACCACCAAGGCGGCGAAGGAATGGCGGGACGCAATTCATGTTAGCACTTCCCACGCGTAATGACGTTGTACAGTGTCGAGATATTCCAGATATTTCACGCAGTTTCATCGCCGCTGAGCGGCATGCCTATCATACTACGCTGGAAAGCCTGAGAGATGACTCGACCGCATATGTCGCAGCCAGTAACCTTCTTCCAATTGGGATCACTGCCACAGATGTCGCTACGGCCAAGATTGACCTCCGTCGTGGCGGCAAGTCGTCTAATTGCAGCAAGTTCTCATGTATTTCCGGGACGGAGATGACATACCTTAATTGTCTCGAGCATGCCTCTCAGGTTGGTCCACTCATTGTCACCTAACTTGTCCGGGCTTGGAAGTGTTGGGATGGATGGGGGGGGGG